GAACTGGAAACTCATACCTCACGCTCGTGGAAAGTTTGTAATGTGGAATGCATTTAGAATTTATTCTCGCAACGAATGCAATACCCATCTAGAATATGAAAAAGTAGGTGCTCTGAAAGAAAGAAAAATTCTAGTTTCTGGGAATACGACCAATCTCTCGCATCTTGCGCGCAAGTGATCTCAATTTGATTTAGGCGATAATCGAGTCTCACCGCTAAAAAGACCACTCCATCATTCTTTGCAACTTCTGTCTGGGACGAAGTGGAAGCCCAGTTCCGAGGAAAATCGGTTCCCGGCACGTCAGGTTTTAAACGCTTGACGTACCTTTCCTTTAAATAAAAACGGAACACCTTGAAAACCACTCACGGGCTCATGACTCTTTCACGGTTGCATTTCGAATCTGACAATCTACCATCGAGTCCATCACGGCCTCCAACAAGAAGTCAAACAAGGTAATTATCACTTTCCTAACCAACATGGACAGCTACGAACCTGCAGAAGCAGAGCCGCAGGACGAAATCAATGACATTAATTTCGTTCGCTCTTACATTAATAAAGCGGCGAAATGGAGGTCGATGATCCACCGATACGGCAGGGTCATAACGGAAGGAGACACCCGTCGCTTGCCGACCTGGCTCGCAAACACCTGCGAATTCACGTCCGTTTCGTCCTGTGTGAGCGACTCTTACCGAGATATGGATTTTTCGCAAATGTTTAAAAATCAACATATGTGGACCAAAAGGACACAGTATGGGACCAAGACTACAATTAATCAGATTGCCCAGTTAACATTGAGGGCAATTGTATTCCTAAGTTTCTGCTATAGAGACGGGAATATTGTGGTACGTAGTAGCAATCAGATTTTTTTCCACCAAGAGGAACCACTTCAAAATGTGAATTTGAAATGGTAAGAAATGAAACAAACCAAGATGTGAATCAGAGTTCACATTTGGAATCTATCTTGTTTCAATAGCAGAGAATGACGGCTAACTTGATAATGAGGCCATAGATGGTGGAGGGGGGGGGGGTGGGGCATAACTGGGTGCGTGACCCTACATTGAAAAAATTATTTATTATTATTAAAAAGTTTGTGTTCTAAAAGATGTTAGTGTAAAGTTTTGTTCCAACCGGATTATTAGAAGGAACAATATCCTTGTTTATATCTGTTGAATTTCTTTTGGGTCACCCTGAAGACATAAAGAAGGAAAGAGCTATAAGAAGCAGACTTTCTGGCGAAAAATGGGGCACATCTGCAGAGCTCTGCTGAAACCGCAGCCTCTCGATGCATTGAAAAGAGGATATTTCATATTGACGTTTCAACGACTGTAGCTCTTTAGCCAAACAATCTAAAGACTGCAAAACTTTCATGAAATTTTTTTTTAGTGTTTTCTGTCACACAAAAATAAAACAACCCAGACAATCTAGCAATTCTACTGTAGGTTTATAAGCCTCAAACAAGACACTTTTTTTCGCGCCACACGGGTATGATTTATATAATTTATTTTTATCTGAGTAGCATGCTGTAAGATCGGAAATGTATTCAACAGAAGGTTCTTTTCTTCCTGAAGGGTTGATATACATCGAAGCCATGATCGAAGCCCTTTGCGACTAGATGGAAGTCGTTATCGGCTACCAAGCTCACAGGTTACGGAGCTAGATCCCATCTCCCACCGATGCATATCGTTGCACGACCGCCAAGCTTGTTTTTTTTTTGGCACTGTTTCTATCTGCACGAAAAATCTGAAACCCGTCGATAGGAACTGTCGCACAGGGCAAAATAAGAGAAAGCCACGTATCTTGTATAGCTTGGAGGAGCTCCTGCTTCAATAGATCTGTCAAAAGTTGCAGCTTCGGCTGTAACCCACACAGCACATGCCATAATCTAGAAAAGTCATCCAGTGAATCGGGACTTGCTCCCTCCACGTTTTTTACGCAAAAGTCGAAGATCGGCAAGGCAAGAGTATGATTCTGAAAGAATTCTGGTAGTTTTAAGCTTCAAAAGAAGCAGATTCGACCTCAAGATCCTGTACTGATGACCTTCTGCAATGCTGGCACATGCAGGCAAGAACAGGAACACAGAAAAAACGCAAGTGAGAGACACGGTGCACGTGCGATATCGTATCGCAAGTATCCGGTCTTTTTGTCTATACCTATCATAAGCAGTGGCGGATAGAGAAATTATTCACAAGGGTGACGTTTCCCTAGTTCCAACCCCCACCTACCACCACACTCCGTCGTTTTGCCTTTTTCAGTTTTCATCGGCGGTAGAACGTAGATATCCATTTCACATGCCCCAGCGAAACTTAATTAAATTAAATTAAATGTAGAAATTAAGAAAATAGAACGCGAACCTAAACATAAGGGGGGGCGGTCCCCCCCCCCCCCCTTGCCCCTGGATCTGCCACCGATCTTAAGTTGATTTCAGCTTTATGTTCAATTGAGGTTCGGTTGACGTCCTCGTTAAAGTAATGTTCGTGGTTCGAGGTCTCGTCAACTATCATAGACACTGACGAAAAACTCGCGGACTTATCAGCCACGTTTCCAATCATGACCTATCTGGTCGCCACTGCTTCGGGGAAAGGTCTCGAGGAAGTCGGTGACGTAGCGTGGTTGGCATGGGCTCAGGTGCAAGGAATGAAACGGGGCCCGCATTCCCATTTCTTGCTCATTCGGCACAGCAACGTTGAGAGAAGGTTGCTTTTTTAACGTAACAATGTTGCTTCAATGTTGAGATAAGGTTGATTTTTCAACTTAACAAGTTATAATAATAGCCTCTGAATTAGCGCTTAATAGCCTCTGAACGACTACACTAATTCACGAGTAGTCACCAAATGCTGAAAATGCGGTTAATTACGAATAGCTAGCAATAGCTAGCATAGCTAGCGATGTTGATTCTTCGTCAAATTCTCAACTTCAACCAAGTCTCAACGTTTCAACCTTTTCTCAGTGTTGACACCACGCTTTTGTGCCGAATGGGATGCTATTGAGATATGTGGGAGTATATATTTTTTTGCTAGATTTTCTCCGGCAGCTTATAAATCAGTGATGAGCAACCTTTTCTGACTGCAGGCCGCAAGTGAACCTTTTAGGTTCCCGGCGGGCCGCATGTATTTTTTAAATACTGAATTACAGGCTTTATGCCTGCCGAGTACCAAAATAATTCTAAGCCCGGCTTTGTAAAATAGTAGATGCTAATGATATGCAAAGAACTAATTTTGAAAATTTTCTCATCATTTTACTGGGCAAAATACCAAGCCGCTTGCTCCAAGAGCAGTGATGCACTGACCAAGAAGTGAGCGAGGAGATATTTCTAGCGGAAATATAGCATTTATGTTATATTTCTTGCTTCCATATCTCCTGCAGTGGACAACGGAATCCTTGAGCGCACGTGCGCTCTACTCCGGGTGGCAGATGAGAGAGAAAAATAATTCAGTTGGCAAAGCCCCACGGGCCGCGGGTTGCTCATCACTGATATAAATCGTTGCCCGTAGCTGAAGTCTGTGTGGAAGGCAGTGTCGGATACAGAAATGTTTCATAGGGAAAATTTTTTCATTGGCCTGTTTCCTAGTTCCTAGCCCCCCCCCCCCCCCCCCCATCTTCCACCACCCTCCGTCTTATCGCCTTTCGTCTGGTATAAAAACCCTAAATACCCATTACATAGGAGCTAATAAGCATAAATAAAAAATAGACTGCGAACCTGACCAGAGGGGGGCAGTCGACCTCCCCCCACCTCTCCTGAATCCGACACAGGTGAAAGGATGAATGTAGGGCCGGATCAAGAAGTTGCGAGGCCAAAGGCAAGTGGATTCTTGGTTCCCCCTCTGCTCCTTTATGCAAATACTTACGCGTTTAATTTTCTTCGAGGGCCCCCTGGAAAAGTGGGGTCCGGGCAGCTGTCCCCTTCGCCCCCCCCCCCCCCCCCCCCCCCCCCCCCCCCCCCCCCCATTTCAGATATGTGTTCCTGAGTGCAGAATCGAGCAGGTTGTAAATCAGGGGTCTCAAACTCATCCGGCCCTGAAAAGGTAATATGTGATCACTGTTCAGTCACTATTTCAACGGGGATCTCAAATTCGTCTCGGTGTGCGGGGCCCGCATCGCTAAGATTGGTCCTCTGTGGGCCCGAGTGCAAAGTCGTAGGCTGAATAGCACTACCTTATATTGTGCATATTGGGCCTGAAATGTTTCTCACGGTGGACGCAGATGAGTTTGAGACCCCTGATTTACAACCTGCTCGATTCTGCACTCAGGAACACATATCTGAAACTAGCTGGTTGCCTAGAGGGCAAACGAACTCGCTGCGCTGCGAGGTGCAACGAAAATTTTTTTTTTTTTTTAGCAACATGTTCCCTCTACAACTTTGTACTTCAGTGACCCCCCCACAATATTGGCTCCTTTGGGGGGTCTGTAGTAGTGAATCGGCCAAATATGTACTAAATACGGTACCTCAGGGGGTCCGAATTTTGAAACGCCACCTAGCCCATGACTATCCCCGGACCAAATGAGAAAGTCATGCAAAGACTGGAATCAGAGGCCTGGCCGTGCATGGACAGACACGCAAACTCTGTAATACCCCCTGTATAAGTAGTATAAATATTTTGCTTTTGCAAATTTTCTATATTTCCCCCTTTACATCTGAATTTTGTTCCTTCACTCGGCGAATTTTTCATCCATTTTTCACCACTTTTCGCGTTCCTCATACTTGTCGTTTCACATTTTAAACTTTACATACTTCCGCGTTTTACCCTGAACACATCGTGCCCGCGTGGGAATCCAAAACCAAACATGGCGGCGCAGAGTGTACGCGGTGCCCCTGATTCTCTTCGTTCTTGTAATACCTCCAGGTCCGTGCAGGCTTAGCAGCCTTTATTTTTTCAGTGAATACACCCCAAGAGACCGTGGCAGCCCTGATCGCTGGCTGTCCGTTTAGGCCTAACTAACTGTGAAGGCCACGTTTTTTCCCCCATCTGTCAAGATTCCTAGATTCCTGACGTTCGCTCAAAATGCCTCTGAAGAAGAAACCGGTGACAGAGAAAAACCTGTACGAGCTCCTGCAAGTAGCAATTGATGCTACAGAAAAGGAAATCAAGACCGCCTACCGAAAGAAGGCTTTGAAAGTTCACCCTGATAAGAATCCCAATGATGAAAAGGCTGCCCTGTTGTTCCATGAGCTTTCAGAAGCTCTGGAGATCCTCTTGGACTCTTCAGCACGGACTGCTTATGATAAACTACTCAAGGCAAGGGAGGCAGCAGCCGTCCGACACAGACAACTTGATGCCAAGCAGAAGAAGCTTAAGGAGGACCTGGAAGCTCGGGAGAAGGCGGCTGAATCACACCGGACTGCATACAAGAGTGAAGAGGAGAGATTTCAAGCTGAGATTGAACGCCTGCGCAAAGAAGGATCTCAGGTGTTGAAAGCAGAACAAGAGTCCTTGAGAAGGCACCTATATGATGAGGATTCTTCCTCCTCTCAGGGAACTGAAGATGTTGGAGCACGACTCAAAGTGATTTGGAAAGGAAGCCAGGGAAAGTATGACCAGGAGACACTCAAACGTATCTTTAATAAATATGGAGATGTTTCTGTGGTGGTGATCTCCAAGAAGAAGAAAGGAAGTGCTCTGATAGAGATGGTTGATCATCGGTCAGCTGAAATGGCTCAAAGACTTGAGAAAGGATACCTGGATGATCCTCTGATAGTGACATTAATTGGTCACAAGGGTTGCAGTGAGCCTGTGAGAGACTTCAGCTCAACATCATTTGGTCTACAGACTGAAACTGATTTTGAGAGCCTTGTGATGCGACAGCTTCGGCAGGCAGAGGAACGTCGTAAATTGATTGAAGAAATGAAGAGAAAAGATGCAGAAGATGAAGAAAAGAATGGGAGCTAGATGGTGGATTGACATGTTCATTTAAATTCCTCAATTTCATGTGATTTTTTCTTCATTTCCAGATTAAAGAACTCATTTTTAGGTCATGGTTATAGGAAGACCTATTGACTGAAGTTTGCTGCTCCTACTTGCTATGTGCAAGAAAGAAAGTGCATTCTTCTTTGCTAATATTGCTTTTATTTTTGCAGCATTGAGGAAATTAACAGGACTCTGGCATGTGTTGCATGTAGGATGGTTACCCATTCAGATCAGAGGTTCCTAACAGTTCTGAGTCCATTAAGCCTTCAATGATAGAACTTATACAATTCCACATGCTGCTGAAGGGATAAAATCCATTTCATCTAATTATCCAAACAAGAAAACTACAAATACCTGGGCTGATTTCAGAATGACAGTTCTGTTGCAGTTTGACTCTTAAGTTTTGGTTCAGACTATGGTCTGACTGAAGTTACTCTGTGGTCTAAGCTACTACCCTCATAACAAAACCCCAACTGGAACTGGAACTGTATTGCAATTGAACTGTGACTGCAGTTTTGAAATCAGCCCTAGTGTCTTCTTACATCAAATGCCTCTTCTCTGGACCAAATAAATGTTCAGTATGGAGTAAGACACAATGGGATGTTCATGCAGACAATTGTCCCTTTGAACAACTGAAGTTATTGGGATTTATCAATCAAAGCAGTAGGTCACCCAATCTCTCATCTGGGTTTTGATTTATTTTAATCAACCCTTTCAATGCAGTTTAATGCTGACAGCTTTTGCTTAGGCAAACAGACTTTACACACACTTGTGAACTTAGGTGCTATGGAAGTGACCAAGAGTGGTGCATGAGTGCTACATTAACATGGATATACTGGTAGCTCATTTTGATGATATGAATCCATGGACCACTACTTGAGTAAAAAGGGGATAAGTGGTCATTTCCACCATGATGCAGCATAGTATAGACTATACTAACTGTGCCTGTGTCTTTAGGGTGGAGGTGGTTGGAATAATATACAATTTACTGCTTCCTACTGATAGGGTTCACATAGTCTACTTGTGCCCTGGTTGGTAGGACTTTTTTTTACAAGTGGCTAAAGGCAGAATTAATATATGTGTACAGTGGAGTGCAAAAAAAAAAACTGCCATTAAACACAGAAACTTTCCAGAAGGATATCTTTTGAAGTTTGAGAGTGATTGTTTCAGAACTTTCAAGGTCAAGGAGGGGCTATATATAGCAGTGAGGATGACAAATCTGGGAAAGTGTTGTTGAGTCTGCTGAAAATGGCCCATGATTTGAGTGCTAACTATTTGCAGATGAAATGATCAGTCATCTTCCATGATTGAAATCTGGGTTGTTGGTGTGCTACCAAAACCGCTTGTTAAATGAAGAACCCTGTTCATACTGTCTGGCCAATTTCCACAAAAAAAATGCAGTAGATCATGATGTGGGGAGCCTTTAGCATTAGAGGCCAGATATGCCATTTATTCAGAAGGATCATGGATGGCCCTACTACACTCTAATTCTTCAAGAACATCTACTTCCTGGTGCAAGAAGACAGTTTGGATGATGGTGGCCATTCCAGCAAAACAATGAACCAAAGCACACAAGTAGAGCAGTGGAAAAATTTTTAGAACAGCATGCACCTGAATTGATCGACTGGCCACCAAACAGTCCAGATGTAAATCCAACTGAAAACTTGCAGTTCATCTTTTTAAGGGACATGGAGAAACAATGGCTGAAAAATCTAAAACAATTGGACCAATTCTTGCATAAAGAATGGCAACAAATTTTCATGCCAACCATAAGTTGTTTAATCACATCAATGAAAGAGAGATGTTTGGTGCTTGTTGATTCAGAGGGAAATCGAATCAATAAGTGACCATTGTATTTCTATATAATATTGCATGTGGAATCTATGAAAAAAAAAGTTTAGAAATTCACTGAAATTTGACTAATTTTTTGCACTCCACTGTATATAATAATAAATGGTACCTGTCCCACTCAATCTGCATATCAGAAAATCATTTCCTAAAAAATATTGACTCCATGACTCCTTAGGGTTGTCAAGTTTTTCCATCTGAACCTTGATTTATAATAAACCAATAGATATGGTGAGGCTTTTCCTATGGACTCTGGATTAGAAACATACTGTAAAGCATCTAATTGGTCTACTTGATCTCAAATTCAAAAGGATGTTTTTGGTGGCAGATGGCAGATATGGGATAAAATCCTGATGAATTCTACAGGTCAAATTAGGCAATTCTTGCAAATCTCAGTCATACTCATGATTTATTGCAGGTAAAATTTCTCATTTCCTGGCCAATAAGAACTGCTGGTAGGAAGCGAGTCATTACAAAGGTGCTGTTGTTGGGTCCTTTGACTCTTTTTGCAGAGACCACAGCATGATTGCTTTGACTCTCCCTGGGATGCAGTTGATTTGCCACCCTTATGCATATGGGTCCTGTGAAATCACTCAAGTAACTTACAGTAATTTCATTGGTTCTTCCTTTTCTTTTAAAGATTGTCTTAATCAGTTTTCCATGGGAAAGTTCATATGCCCTTGAAGACAATCTGAAAATAGGCCTTCAATATTTTAACTTCAGAGTAGGGTCTACCAGCAGAGTAATTGTATCTGCCTTTGTTCTATTGTTCATGTGCAATGTGATTTTGCATAACTGAAGGTATTTCAGAATCCTGTGAACATGGAGGACCCAGAGAGTGATGATTCTGCAATTGACTTTCTTGAGGCTATGGCAAAGAGATCCTATTTGGAAGGCTGGAATGAAGAGACATGGGAAGAGGTGGTCATATTTATTGTTGATCTACCTCTCAGGTGTGAGAATTCAGGACATGTGAATAGTGCAGTATTTAATTCTTAGGAAATGGAGAAGCATCCAGCATTCATGACTAAACCTGCTGAGGGACCTGACATACCTCCTTTGGTTGAAGCATTCCAGCAACTTAAGTATGACCCTGAGGAGAACACTAAAACAGGTGAGGTTGAATGTCATATAGATGGTGTCTAGATCTTTGAGGATGTATCAGTACCAGTTGTGAACTGATGAACTGACTGCACCAGATTTAGCTCAGAACTACAAAGAGGATGGGAATCGTCACTTCCAAGCCAAGAAGTATCACCTGGCTATTGAGAACTACACTGCTGGGATCAAGGAAAATGCACCAGACCTAAGCCTGAATGCTATCCTTCATGCTAACCGTGCTGCTGCTCATTTCAGATTACAAAATTTCAGGTTGGACTAAGTATAAATTTCTGTCCCCAAGAACAAAGCATCATACATCAAACATTCTTATTGATTGGTTTTCTGCATGACAAGGTCATCCCTGAGAGATTGCATTGAGGCAGTCAAGTTGGACCCTAACCATTACAAGGCTGCACTCAGGGCAGCAGAATGCTGTAAGGAACTTCATGAGTTCCCAGATGGATTCAAATGGTGTGCTTATGCCAGAAAACTTCCATCAGCAATAGAAAGCAAAGTGCAGGAAGCCCATGAAGCACTCCTCAAGCAACAGGTTAGGTTTTTAATAAGTTAATAAATGACCATAATAATCTTGATATACTGTATATATATAACTGTCATCTGCAGAGAGACTGGGAACACAGGCAGAAGAAAGAAGCTGCTGAAATGAGGAAACAGGAAAAGAAGGAACGCAGGTTACAAAAGATCTTGGACTCACAAGGAATCAAGTTTTTTGGCATGCAGCCAAAAAATCTGGAAGAGAAGGTTAAGGTCGATGATGATGGAGAATTGCACTGGCCTGTGGTTTTCTTTTACCCTCAGCATGGTCTCAGTGATTTCATTGAGGAATTTTATGAGCAGGGAAGGTAAGAAAGTTTCCCTCTTAAGCAGGGTAAGGAACCTATGGCTCATGAACTGAAAAGTTTGGCTTGTAATTGCTAGAAATCATGGTTGTTCCTCATTTTTTCTCATGTATCAAAGAATGCACAAGTTTGTTGCCAACTTCAGAAAAAGTTATTTTGTTTTGAAAATCTTTGGCTCACAAACATTAAGCTCAATCTTAATATGGTTCACATGGCTGAAAAGGTTCCCAACCCCTGCTCTGAAGGAATATACAATACAAGTTATTGTATCACCTTTCTGTTTGCTCTCCTAGCATCCAAGAGCACTTGGAGGAGATGTTCAAAGAACCTGCTTCATGGGATGCAGCAGGGGAGTACAAGCCAAACCTCCTTGATGTTTACTTTGAAGATCCTGACAGGTATACCCTACACATGGTTGATCTGAATGCTCCTCTTGTCAAGATCCTCTCTCATCCCAGGTATGCATGAGTATTTTGTCTTTCCATCTGCATTCATTTGGCAGCTATGCAACTTGTACATGTGATGCTTCTCCAAACTAAATCATAGGTATTTCATCAAGGAAACGCCAAGCTTCATCGTGCTTCCCCATGAAACTCCTGCGACACAATCTTTTCTGAGCAGGTATGAAAATATTTTGGGAGTAAAAGATCAATGACAAAAAGGAACAATGTTTCCCTTCATTACCACACAGGATTTCTCTACACAACTGATAATACAATAAGAGCAGACTTGTGACAGTGGAATGAAAGAAAAGATCAAAGAATAAAGAGGAGTCAAGAGGAGGAGGGGGGGGATAACACTGGCAGCTCATTCTTCATCACTTGAAGAGGATGATGAATCATGCTTCTTCTTCCCTTTCTTACTCTTTTTCTTCTTTTTCTTTTCCTTTTTCTTGCTCTTTTTGGATACCTTCTTTTCAGATGAAGTACTGGCAGTACTCTTTTTTGACTTAGATGATTTGGGAGTTTTCTTTGTCCCATCAGATTCATTACATTCTCTCCGCCTCAAGATAGGAGACTGGTTTCTTTTGGCAGATGTCTTCCTAGCCTTTGCTGGTATAGGTGACACACTCCTGCTCACAGATCTCTTTCTAGCTTTTGCAGGGACAGGTGATACACTTCTGCTATGAGACCTCTTTCTTGTTCCAGCAGGAGGGACAGGCGACATGCTTCTGCTTCGAGATCTTCTCCTAGCTCTAGGAAGAGGGACAGGTGACATGCTGCTGCTCCGTGATCTATTCCTTCCTCTTCCACTCCCACGACTGTAGTCAGCTCTCGGGACTGAAGGACTTCGGCTGAGGCTGCTGAGACTCCGCTCTCTTGAACTGGATCTTCTCCGATTACCATTGACAGCACCTTTGGTCATCCTCCTTGGAGTGCTGGATCTTGATCGATCCCTGTCACGTGAACTTCTCCTGAAACTTCTCTGTCTGTCGCTGCCAGCGTTACCCCTGTCTCTCCTCCCTGTGCAACATCACACAAACAGTGAGGAATAATTAAAGCTACATGGTATTGCATGTGCTTTCCCATATACACTGACAGAAACTCTGCACAGGGCACCAGGACAACGGAATTAGTCATTTTGGGACAGGCAGGGGGGGGTCACCGAATATAATCAACAGAAGCATGTGCCCTCAAACACAGGAGTGTCACTGTAAACAGGGATTCCAATGTATCAGAGGCAGCATACCCATAGGTCTAAGCATGATTGGGTGGGGGTGGGGGAGGCATTCTGAGCCAATTCCCACCCCATTGACCTTGGCCTTGGCCTTGACCTTGACTCTGTCCAGGAGGGGATTGCATCCGCCATTGTTGATTGTGGCCCCCACCTCCGCCTCTAGGCTGATTCCAAGAACCACCCTGTTGTTGCGGGGGTGGCTGATTCCAACTTCCCCCTTGTTGTGGGGTCGTGGGTGGCGGGGGAGGAGGGGGATGATTGCGGAGCCAGTGACCCCCATAGGGGGCCTGTTGCTGCTGAGGTGGTGGCAGCGGCTGCTGCTGCTGTTGCTGTTGTGGTGGTTGTGATGGTGGTGGCTGGTTCCACTTTCCACCACCACTAACACCACCAGGTTGTGGTAGCTGTTGTCCTTGCCCTTGCCATGATCCTTCTTGTTGCTGATTCCCCCACTGGCCCCATCCCCCAAATCGACCCCCACCTCCTCCATTCATGGAGGAGCTGCCACCCCCACGACCGTGGGGGGCTCTAGAACCACCATCACCAAACTTGCCTGCTGAACGGTCGAAGGAATGATTCCGGCGGTCGTCATCTCTCGGTCTGCGATCATCATTTCGGTCCTTCCAACGCCCACGACCTGATAGTACCAATTCATTTTACCTCTGCTGTTCTTTTCAAGTATTTAATGACAGGATGATACACAAAAAGAGTGACTAACCTGGCTTAGAAAATGTGCTCCTTGCCATTTCATCCAGCTCAATCAGCTTGGGATTGACCACTTGATTGGCTTCCCGCAACACAGAAATGAGGTCTTTGGCTTGTTTCATGTTCTTATCTGTGAAGAATGTGTATGCAGTTCCAGTCTTGTCAGAGCGGCCCGTGCGTCCAATTCGGTGAACATAGTCTTCTGAGCATTGCGGGAAGTCAAAGTTGATGACAAACTTCACATCTTCCACATCTTTCAGAGAAAATGAGGATGTTAAGCCTGTGATTCCTGGTAATTTCCCCCCAAACAAAAAAAATTACTTCACCTCCACCATGAGTTACTAATGAACTCACAATGTATAACACCAGGAAAATGAATGGCATGGAGAAATGACTCCACTTCAACTTGGTAAGTCATGTATGCAGTTATAACAGAGTAACAATTATTTGGAAAAAAGATATGAAGGGGAAAGAGCATGAAGAGTACTGTACAAACAAGCCCATGAGGATTACCTGTGGCTCCAGCGGGGGGGAGGCTTGGGCCCCAAGACAGAGAGAGACACGAGCCAAGAGCTAGTGACGGGAGTGGCATCCGAGACGGTCCGCGACGCTCCAACCTGGGACCCCACGTACGGATCCCGTACTCGAGGTTTCAACAACACAGAACGAGACAGAGCGTCTGCGCCACGAACCGCCATGGCTCGAAGCCCTCCCATTGAGATTCTCGCAATAAGACTTAAAGCCGAACAGAGGGCCAAGCCTGAGCCACAGGACACCAGGGCTTGAAATGTCATTCTTCCCTTTACAGAGGGCCATGACACAGATCCCAGAACCCCCACACATCTGTTTAGAGGGACAGGGTTCCTGTGCCTGGCTCTGTAAAAGAGAAGCACATACCTCCATGTCAATATCATGTGTATAGTTTTCTGTTCCCCAATAAAAAAAATGAAATCACACAGTACTGGAAGCATATCTTTAGCAATTTTCCAAAAATGTATATGCACACCTCTCCCCATGTGATAGATGAGCATAGAGAGAAGAAATGACAAGTTAATGACTGCTTGCAGGAGATTTAGTCCTACTGCAATGTATTCAGGCACATTGAATAACCAAGCCTATCATCATGGAAGCACGAATACACTTTAGTTCTTCAGTTCCAACCATAAAAAAGTAAATTTCTGAAATATACTATTCCCCAGGGCCATCTTTGAAGCAGCCATGCAAGAAAGAAAATAATTTAAAATAGTCTTTATAAAACACCATTAAACCCATGAAAAAGTTTTGTCTCATTGAGACCATTTTCCTATTCTCAAAAACATTTGGATTTCAGCTGCCTATTTCCAGACTTTTAACAGCAACCACAGTTTAACATCCAAATTTTCCTGGAAATGGTTTTAGATCAAGCAACTCCATAGGTGCCATAGAGACTGTCACGATGAGTGTTTTCACCTGCACAGTTTCTCTGCTCCAGTGATCCAAGTTTTTTTGCTGAATCATGAGCATGTTAGACAACTAATAACTTCTCCTAGTGACTCCATTATGCAAAACGTTTCACACTAATGTGTATAGATTCACTTAATGATTTGTATGCATGTAATGATGGCAGTTTTCAGTAAGAACCAATCCTAGTATTCTTCTTTTACAGGGATGAAATGATTCATCAAATGAAACCTCCTTTAGGATTATTCAGATTAATATGGAAGATTTAAGGGAACAACTTTGTGGTTACTATAAAAAATTATTTTATAGGAGGTAGATGTTGAAATGATATGCTAATATGACAAAAACAAAGGGGGCCAAATGTAAACTTCAGTACTGCCATCATGGCTTACAGGGTTAACCATGAAGGAGGCAGTCCTTCATAGGTGGAACATTGTTCTCTTTCCTCTCATCACATTAATTTCCAGTTGGTCATAACAGTGCTTACTAGACAAGAAAGGGAAATGAGTTAGAAAAGAAAAAGAGCTGAAGACCAAGGCTGCAGAGTCCAGCAGTCTTGTAGATTGGTGAAGCACTTGTATAGGCACTGATGAGAAGTAATTCACAGCAATTAATAACATAACTACAATTCACTGTCAGCAGAATTTGTGACTCTTAGTTTAGGAAGTTATAGAAAAATAAGAAAACCAAAGGTCAACTCCTGCAGGATGCAACTTCTAACTATAACTCAGTACATCTAAAACGCCAACACTATGGGTTTTTTCAGAATCAAAGGAACAGAAGCACAAGCACCATAAGTAAAACATACGCTTCTTCTTCATATATCAGCACTGGTTCAGCTTGAAGGTTCAGCAGTTTGTCTTGAATAGGTATCTGTTCAAATCTTACCAATGGGATCACCTTTGAATTATCTGACAACCTTTAGATATGAAACTGGAAAAGGCTAAGTGTAATAGTTGACTGGTATGATAAAAGTGGCACTGATATTTCATGTTACAATTTCTGAGGAAGAGAGGAATTTTTGAGGAATACTACTTTGAGGCAGATGCCCCTTAATGACATGATCAGAGCTAATTTGGCCACCAGGTTGATGGTGCACTTGGATGCTTAAAACAAAACAAAGCCTACCCAACATCATAATTAAAGGCTTTAAAATTTTGCAGACACCAGTTACAAAGGATGCCAGTTCTGGTTTATACAATACAAAATTGTAAATTCTAAAAGTCACTTTGTGATTGCTTGACAGTCTTTCTTTAGCTATAGATTAATGAAGATAATATCAATGCCAATACTGATGCTTGCATATTTAAGAAGGAACCCAAGTTTTCAAGACTTACCAAGTCCTCGAGCAGCCACATCAGTTGCAACCAGAATGGGTGCCTTCCCATTGCGAAATTCTGCACAAAAAAACAGGAGTAGTATTTGAAGGTTTTAAATTTTGACTTCTGTGGGAGTGTCCATAGGATAAATGTTATCCAATGGGAATGAAAATTTTCTTCTGACAGAATGCCCAAGGTCCATATCCATGCACAAAACACACTTGCATTGTGATGTGAGAAAAATTATTACTGTAAAATCAAAGGTAGGGCAAACAGATTCCAAATTATAACTGGGGGGATAAGTGGGAAGATATTGATACTGCTCACATCCTGCTAACAGAATGGAGTCTTGGACATTCTATCACTGAAAGTAACAGCAACATACCAGCCAGCACCCAATCTCGTTCAGGTTGGGACTTGTCTCCATGAATGCAATGTGCATTGTACCTGAAAAGCATTAATACTAATGAATACTGCTCAACTGACAATGCTCTCCATCTTCTAGTGCAAGGGTCGGGAACCTATGGCTCATGAGCCGAAAAGTTTGGCTCATTGAGTCATGGCTGAAAATCATGGTCATTCCTCATTTTTCTCATCAAGGAATGCATTTCTGTTGCCAACTTCAGAAAAAATTATATTCTGAAAACCTATCACTCACAAGCACTTAGCTCAATCTTAATGTCTCACATGGCCAAAAAGATTCCTGACCCCTGTCCTAGAGGTATTAATGAGCATAATCAGGTGTGGGATTTAAATGGTTGAAGGGAAGGACACACCCTTCTCGCCTCATGCGACGGGTGAGTTCATCTGCTCCACGTTTAGTCTCCACAAAGATAAGACTCTTGTTCTCCTTATCTGCCATCACCTCCTCTAGCAAACGGAAAAACCTGCCAGGAAAATGAAATATCTTAAGGACCTGCACTTCCACCAACACAGAAGTATATCCTGAATGTCCCTTGTCACTCACTTGTCATCTTTCTCATAAGGTGCACAAACATCTACAATCTGTAGAATGTTATGATTTGCAGCAAGGGAGAGCGAGCCAATGTTCACTTGAACATATTCTTTCAGAAAGTCTTCTGCCAAGTTTCGAACTTCTTTAGGCCAAGTTGCAGACCACATGAGAGTCTGTCGATCAGGCTGCAATAAGAAAAGAATTATTTATTGTCAAAGATCAATTCATATGCATGCAGGATTAAAGCAGTTAGTTTCTCTTACTCTGACTTGTTCCACTATTTTCCTGATTTGAGGCTCAAATCCCATATCTAACATCCGATCAGCCTCATCAAGCACTAGATATGTACATCTTTTCAAATTGGTCGTCCGCATCTCCAAGAAGTCAATGAGTCGTCCAGGAGTTGCAATGACAACCTCAACACCTCCTTCTAGATCCCTTCTCTAGAAAGAAAGATTCAGATTACAATCAGGTGCAAATCTAGATACTGAATGAAAACTGAATGAAATGCAGAGAAGTATGATAACTGTATTACAATATACCTGAGGTCCTTTAGGTGCTCCTCCAAAAATGCAAGTGCTCTTGATGCCAAAGGATTTGCCAAAAAGCTCAGTGACTTCCTGAATTTGTTGAGCCAGTTCTCGTGTGGGTGCAAGAACCAATGCAATGGGACCGTCATGTCTCAATAATCTTGGTTGATTCTTGATGTGGATAAAAGCGGGCAAGATGTAGGCAAGAGTTTTCCCAGACCCAGTCTTTGCAATCCCAACCATATCTCTACCACTCAATGCAATAGGCCAGCCTTGAGCCTGGATAGCAGTTGGCTTCTCAAAATTCTGATGTCTGAAATCTTCTAGGACATTTGGAGGAAAGGCAATTTCAGTGAAGCTTAAAATTGGATTTGGGATATTCCTGCCTTTCACTGTGATCTCCATGTGGACACGCATCTTCTCCACTTCACTTGGATGCCTTGAAGGGATTCATACAAAATAAGGTTTAAAAAAAAAAAATGCATATCCAGCAGGCTTTCAATGACTGGAATTAAATTTTGAGTGAGGGTATAAAGTAAAAGCACAATGTATGATCAAAGAACAGGATTAAGAAGAAAAGAATAAGAATTGGATTTCAATCAATGCCTGACTACCTATTCAATGAATTAGGCTCGGGTGCGTAGAAATTCTTCTCGAAAGGTGGTAGGCGGCTCAAGTCCCATTTTGGCTTTCGAAGGTTTTCTCCTGGTTGTTTCCCTTTGAGACTATTACGGTTTCCATAGCTGTCACCACCTCCTCGTCCTCCAGCTCCACCTCTTCCACCCCAGTCACGACTCCCTCCTCTTGATCCTCCGTAATCTCTCCGTTCATATGGCCTACGGGGTTCGGACATGTGATCATATCAGCAACCTGGCGTGTCCAAATGATCTCAGATCCAAGTCGACAGCCTAATTCCAATGGTCAGTGATTATTCCAAACCAAATGGGAAGCAAAGCATATAGTTCCCTCTTTTCTTTCTTGTCCTAGATGAAGATAGGGCAGTAACGATACTATTGGTTTCCTACACGCAGCCTTCCTTCAGCTTATAAAATTATCACTACGCCTAAGTTAGTCCAACTTTTTGATTAACGTAACGAGCCGGCCTAAATTCCACTAAGGCTCTCAAGCTTACCTCCTAGACATCTTTAGAAGACTAATGAACGAAAGAAATCTTTTCGTTCACAGTTCAGGTCGACCAACAGCAGATGAAGCCAACGGAGGTTTCCGTCTCTCGAAATGGCGTCGACACAGCGCTAGAATACAATACCTGAACTCACTGCTGAGCGGTCTGGGCTCCGCCCCCATGCCCAAACCTATTCTTCTTTACTCTAAAGAAGTTCAAAATGAAGTTTATGATTCCTCTAAAAAATTAAACAAGAAAAACTCTATTAGAGGTGCCGAAAAAGAACTAATGAGTGGTTATTTTTGGGAGCTAATGACCTTATTTCGGGAACTATATAGCCTGTAGACTCCCTAGTGCAATGACGAATCTTCATGGTTGGGTCGTTGCCGGTGAAAAAGAGCCCTCCCAAACTATTGATTTTCTCGCCATCGACGGCGTATTATATTTATTATAATTGCGAGGAGCTCATTCTCGGACTAGGTCCAGCAAACATACTAGCACGGTTAACAAAGAAATTTCGTAATTTCATCATGGAACATATGCAACATGCATGGGATATCACTGTTTTTGTAGCTGTGCGCATGTGAATGGTCTCAGCTTTTTTGACTTCACCGTCATTCCGTGCGTGGTGGACACGCGATGTTGTCTTTCCTCGGACAGTGACTGTGTCACTCCTTGTCTGTGATGGCCATTTATCAGTCATAACATTCTCCTGTTTGTCATGGAGAATAATGGACCAAAGCGTGAATTCCTGAAGCTCTTGAACGACAGTAGTGACTCGGGATCTGAAGTCCCGCATTATGTGGTTCCCTTTCCAAGAATACAGACAGCCGTACCGCCTGGTAGACGGAAGATCTTCCGAAAAAGGTGAAATGTGGTCTCTGCTCTCGGTAGGGCATAGACTTATTAAGCAGTTTTTCTGCCGTGGCCCGATGGCAAAGGCCTATTCCATCATGTGAAGCCTTTAGTAATGATAGGTTACTCCCATCACTTCATTTTATGGAATTTTCGTTGCAGGCGACGTCGTTCAAGTGCCAGCTTCTCTGGTGATATCCCCCGCAGTGAAAAGTATGCTCGGACTTGCCACTGCTCTGCCCAATTGTGGGCATGGCTCATTCTCTTTACCTGCTCACTGTCTGCTTTCCTCACACTCCTCTGGCTCCTAAACAGCATGCACACTGAGTTGTCAAATATCACCTTGCGCTTGCAAGAGGGTAAGAATGTATTTCACATGGATTATTCTTTTCACAAAGTTAAGTGCATGCATAATACTCATTTACGTGAATGTGAACCTTTCAGTGGAGCTACAGAGCAATTCCATACCAGAGGAGCTACATTCTTACCAAAGTCGTTTTGGGCTCATCGAAAAGAATGTAACTGAATTCAGGAGCCAATTGTCATCATTCTCAACGACAATGCAGCAGTTGACTAGTCAGGTGATTGAACTTGATCAAGTGCTTGAAATTTTCCGTAGTATTTCATTAGGAAATGTGATTTAGAAACATATTCTCTGTATAGATTCAGGAAATGCAGGGAGGAGTCAAGAAGCTGGAGTCAAATTTGGATGCTGGTCCACAGCTTTTATCCTTGCCTAAAGACATGGCAGTACTTCAGCAGAGTGTGGCTGACTTTGGAAGTCAGTTAGCTGATATTGATTCAAGAGTAAAATCCCTGCGAGAAGATTATGATAGTCTTGAAAACTCTGACAATGATCTCATTCATCGGATTACCTCACTCGAGGTAAGTCTCCTTTAACTGTGGGCATTCTGCATACTGTTTTTTCTACTACATTGCCATCAAATGAAGCTCTGACAGAATTGGAAGTGTTTCTAAGGCAGTCCCTTCTTCATTGTATGTATGCAACTCCTTCCATAAAGAGATATGCCTGGCCAGTGGCAGACAACTTAGTAAATATTGGTTCCAAATATTGAAATCTCATTTAGGTGAGATGAAGGGGCTTTTAGGCTAAAGACCTATTTTTCCTTCATTGGAGTCTATGGATTCCTAAAGGACCATTAACTAAAGGAGGTTTCAAGCTATAGAGTAGACTCAACAATCCCATCTCCATAAAGGTATGAGTTACTTTTCTCCATGTTCACATCCAGGAAGAGACATTCCAACAGCTAGGCCTTTCATGTAGATCACCTCTTAGATGCATAACCTTTTGGACAATAGGAGCTAAGAGATGGATGGTGCTGTCCATACGATAGGCCCAGCATTGCCTGAAAACAAGTAGAGTAGATGCAAGCAAATGAAAGCCTCTAGCTTATGGGTAAAATGGAAATTTCCTCTAAAAGAAAAAATAAACTTTTTAATTGTTAAATCATTAAATTTATTATTATTGAAAGATTTTTGGAGCCTCAATTCATGTTCTCATTTTCTATTTTCTCCTTTGTTGCTTTGCCCACTCCCCAATTCTGTTTGGCTCTATCACAGGACAAGTAAAGTGTATGGAAAGAACAGAACTGAGTAGAGAAAGTGAAAAATCCTTGCATATCACCCTTGAATTGTCGTTGCCACCTTATTGCTGATGCAGGAGAGCAGAAAGTGGGAGATGCAGGCTGAAATTATCTGTGCCTTGGCATTTAATGTGCTTTTGTTTTATGGAGCCATAATTTGCACTTCTACTGAACAGCAGAAATTGTGCAAATCCATGAAAATTTTAGATTTTTGCAGTATTTAAATAAAAATGGAATAGTCCCCTTAGCCAGAGGCCACACTTGAAAGTAGGGCTGTCATGATAGATCAATGCATCAATACCACTCTTGATGGTTGGAGGTATTGATAGTTTTTTTAACCATTGTATCGGCAAAATATTTTAAAGGGGAAATGGATTGAGGTGAGTAGAGTACAATACAGTCTGTCTAGGCAGGGAAAGGAAGAGGTGGCATGACCTGCATGAGCTTGCAATTCAAATTCTGGGAATGCTGGAACTGACTTCATGAAAGAGGGGAAGGAAAAAAACCATATTGGATTGGAGACAGGGAGGGAGAAAGGAGATGGAGGAAGACCTTGTTGAACAAAGAAAAATAATTATGTGAAGGGGCTTGGCAACTGATTCTCAATGGCAAGAAGCAAAAAATAGAGCTATACTGATGAATGGATGTTATCTTAGATAGCTAGAGGCATGGTATGTTTCATTACTCCTTGTGAAGGTCACAAATTCCCCCCACCCCCCCTGATTACAAGTGCGAGATTATGGAAGATGGATAGAGGTCTGCACTTCGATCAAGGCAAGAAACAATGGAAGTCAAACCTCTACCCAATTGCAGCGAGAAAAGATTCAATCCTCTGATGCATTGATACACTTTTGATAGTTTGGGTCATTGCATTGATGTTTTGAAAACTGTTAATGTGACAGCCCTACTTGAAAGAGTGTCTGGCTACCATCCTGGCTCTGACTGAAAGTGAGAACTACTCAAGTCAGAAAAGAACTTAAAAAGCTTTGCACATTGTTCTGTCCACTCTGTAACATAGGACTATTCAGTGTCTTACTGCTTGTCTTGATTTATCCCATGTTGTATCATCAGGGACAGGTGAAGAACATGACAAACCGCCGATTGTCATCATATTCTAGTCAGGCTGAAAGCCGCTTCTCAGCCTTGGAGAATGGAATGAATTCTCTGAATGAGACTCTCAATTGGGTGGTGGAAGATTTACATAAGCAGCTAGTAAGATCATCTGAGTCACACATCATCCAAAGCCAATTGTATTGAAGTGCTGAAGTTGCTGAGTGTCCACTTTTCTCCAATTAGGGTCAGATTGAAGAGTTGAGACCGGTGACCATAAGTATTAATTCAATGCTGAGCTGTCTGGAGGTTGAGCTGAGAACTTGCTGCCCAAATGTGTCCACATGTTCATCTCCTTCAGCACTAAAGGATTTCAGTACATCTATGGAGATTCCTCACAGTAAGGTTTTCTTGTTGGTTTTTCCTGGGAATTTAAAGCTTCAATCTTGTTGGTGCACTTGCACATTTTTCTTAGCATTCTTAGCATTAATCAAGGAAGCGTTCTTAATGCCATTCAGTTTTCAATTCTAAAAATGCACAAACCTGCAGTTCCCTATGCAGCTGATATACATCACTGATGAGTAAGAAAATCCAAAACATGCAGATATGTTTGTTATATGGATGCAAAGCTGTGACAATTGTTATGTTTCCTGATAGGCCTTTTGGGGGATGAGAATCCTTGTAAAAATCCCTGTAATAAATGCAGAGGGTTTAGTCAGAAAAAATGCTAAGGTGTAGAATTTAGGAGGTGAAGTCAATAACACCCTAAGGTCCATGCTAAGCAAATGTATGAAAAGCACATTCCATTAGGTTATTTTTAGAGATGCAACGATATTTTATCGGTTATCGGTATCGGCCGATATTAGGTGAATCCGATATATCGGCCTAAAACGATATATGACCTGCCGATAACCGATATTGAAATTACACCTGAAGTATGCCAAACGCTAAGTATGTAAAGCGAATTATGAATATTCTCACCTTTTTCCCATTAGACAACATTTCACTTGACTCGAACACATGTTCATGGGACGTTCCTCATGCATGAGTGTCAGTCAAGTGAAAAAATGTCCAACTCAAGTGAAAACACTGCAGAAGGTTGAAAATGCCTAAATGACCCGTTTTAAAAAAAGAAGTATTAGGCTGCTGAAAATATAAGCATTTTTCGCCTTTGCATTGGGATTCCCCTGGGATTCGACCTTCACTGCCGCGGTTCTTCAACGTCCCACATCTAGAGATAGGAGCGCTCTGTGCTCGGGTACTCCCTTCCCAAGCACGCTGGCGCTTCAACTAGGAAGTATACACTTGACTTGGCTAGGTTCGAGCCCAGACCACCCTGTCATGGGACATAAGCTCATTACCCAGTCACCCGGGAAAGAGATGAGAAGCGTCATCTACTTAACTCTGCCTAATGCCACTACCATAGCCTACTCCGTACTTTCTGCGAAAATAGACATCGCTTATGTTAGCGCGAAGAACCCAGGCCTAGATGGATCCCAAAACCTTGGTACAAAAATCACTAGACTATAGTCTGATTTTAACTCTTTCGTGCCCAGAGGTTCAATTTGGAGCCACCGATTTTCAAGAATTTTATAATCTTTATATTCATGTTAGGACCGTGCCGATGGCCACATTTGACCGGTAGACTGATGGCGCATTTTGAACTCGTACCCATTGACCGGTGCCGGAGCCGGAGCTGATGATGATTTATACTCTATAGATTGTGAAAGTAACATGAAATCGCATGCGAATTCAAATAGGCCTATTTGGGAGCCTTATGATACTAATCAATGAGTCTCCTGAAAACGATAGAGACCACTTTTAGACCTTTCCAGCCTGTCTGTCTGCGTCCGTCATGGTTACCTATTGCTGATATGAGAGCTTAACGGCACTACTCGATAATGCACAGCATAAAAGGAGATGCAATTATTTCACGGTCTTTACGGCTATTTTCCTCCACCAGTTCCTACAATCGGGTTGAAATACAGTAAGTCCTCGATTTACGTCATGGATACGTTCCCGGNTGCAGCCCTAATTTACCAAAAATATTAATAGTCATAATTTATATTTGAATATTTATAATATAATGCATTACATAAATATATTTGTAGATAAAACCTTCTGTAATATAATAAATGTGATTGATTGCCTTAGAAATTTTCCTGAAAAGCAGTTATGTTCGCATTTCATCTTCATGGAAAATTACCTGATGTGTTAACAATTTGTCAGTCATGTCTGTCTGGGTGTCCATTAGAGGTATGAAGGAGGGAACTTTGACATTCTTGACATTTTCTGAACAGAGTGCTACTTTGAAAAAAAAAAAAGAATTGCTATTCCATCTTATTGCAAGTTCTAGGATGGAACATAGGAAATAAAAGGCCTGATGCAAATCCAATGTAATATTTAAAAAATCCACATTGAGGAGCCTGGCTTCAGCATGAAGAAATCATTTCTTCTCACTATTGGGGAAATGGCAAAAGCATGAGGTGCACCACTGGTGCACCTCAAGCTTTCCCCATCAGACCTGGTCCCAAATAAAACTTAAAAGTGGAGGGATAAATGCCTGAGGGTGGATTTTTGAACAGAGAACAATCTGATAATGCAGCTTTATTCTGGGGAAAACACATATTTCCTGGAAATATGTGTTTAGCAGCAAAATCAGATAGTTCACTGTTCAAAATCTACCCTGAATGTGCAAATATAAATGTATATATAGATATTGGTATCGGTTCTTTTCCAATATCGGAATTATCGGTATATCGGATATTGGCCAAAATTCAATATCGTTGCATCTCTAGCTATTTTGAAAAAGTTTTGTAAGTTTCTAAATTTGTATTCATGTGGTGAAGTTATACAAGGGATAATTTAAAAGTTTCTATCACATTTCCTTTCTCAGGGTAGACCTAATGAATACATTTTTTGCTACATAACCCTGCTGGACAGTAACACTTGTGCAATTAATGGGATGGGGCTTCTATTTCATGGGGGGGAAATTCAATTTCCATTGTGTCTAAAATTGCTTGGACAGCTATATTGTATTAATTTTCACCTTCATAACTGCTTCAAAAAGTTTTGCTTGAATTATACAGCATTGAATAAATTACTTTATTTGGATATATAAACTGATGCTAAGTTAATGGTTTTTAACATACTTGCTTTGCTGTTTAATTTTTGACATTTTGAATTGGAATAATACTTCATTGGATCATTAATAGTGATTATTCAAATTTAAATAAATGTAGTTAAAAGCAAATGGTGGTACTTGAAATTACCAAAACAGGATGAAGACTTAGATAGACTAACTTTCAGCTTTCTCCAATCATCATCCTCAGGGTAGAAACTTTTGAATCATCCATTGTGAATTCATATTTTGGCTGACTTATGATTATAAGATTAATGAAGATAATGCATATTATTACAGATATGTCATCTGAACTTTATTGTAGATTTTCTGAGTGACCATTCAAGAAGGTACTAATGTTTCCTTCCTCAAATTGAAAAAAAATCTGATCTTTTCCAGCAACTGATAAGACGTGACAAGCATGCACACACAACAGACAGTGGAAGAATCATTCACTGCACCTGGTAACTCTTCTCTGATTGTGTTCTGTGGAATATGGCATCCTACATTTCTCATGAAAAGAGTTGCCACCCAACACTTGTGCCATTCAAGTCAGCACTCTGTGGCCCCAACACAAATCCTGCAAACAATGTTCAAATTGAATAATGATGTGATTAATTTGTTCTTAGAAATTTACTAATATATTGATGAATTCGGAGATAGCAAATTTGGGATTATCTGTCTAGTTACCTATATCTACATATTTCAATATGGTGCCAGCAGTCTTGAGATTTCAACATTGTGATCCTGTTTCATTTATGGTCTTTCATATTCATGTATTTCTAATTGCATTATGGTTTCAAAGTGTTTCCAAATGAAATACATTATGTGGTGACTTGTTGTTTTTGGTCAAGAGCAAATTCACATGCCGAAATAAATGCTCAAATAAGAAATACAAACCTGGATAACTGAATCAGGAGTAAATGGAGTTATGAAATCACTTTCAACTTCTTCCCCACTTGAATGAAGGCATCCACAGTACGATCAATATCTTGTGGAGAGTGTGCACCTGAGATTTGAACACGGATGCGTGCCTTGCCCTGGGGTACCACTGGGTAGCTGAACCCAATCACATAGATACCTAAATCTGTAGATATACAGGTTTAAAGCACAAGAGAACCAGATGAAAGGTATTTGGAATGACATAACTGATAGACACATACTGTTGGAGTGGTAAAAAAAATTATCACTATTAGCCATTTAATGGGAAAAACTGCAACAATCACTACATTGTTTAAAATAATTTCCCCCAAATTGGATATGCTTGGTTCAGCGATCCACAAATCTTTTAAGTACATCACAGGACCTGTTCTGGCTACCATGGTGAATTCTACATTGACTTTCATAGTGTCCTTCATTCTTCAATACTGGGACTGGGAGCATAGGTAGGCTCTTCGTCTAATGCACCTCTGATTTCAGTGACGATATCCACAGAGGTTCACGGCCTGCCTCCATGCGGCTTGTTGCAAACACAACCTGTCTCCTTGAACTTGTCAACTAAATTCATCAGAGCTTGTCTCGAGCAGGGCCCCAGACAGATTGTGTGCTGTATGGTATTTTCATAAGGCAACTACAGCATTGCACTTGTTTGTGTAGAAAAGCTTTATCAGCTCGCCTCTCTGCTTCTTATTCAAAGTCATGACTTTTCTATGACCAAAAATTATTACATACTTTCAGTAGTGGTTCAATACTGTCAAGAGTGCAAATATAGGGAAAAAAAATAAAATAAAAAAATTTTCACAAAACATTCTCCAATAAAATCCCATGACCCCCTGAGTATCCCCCTAAAATTTCACTGTCCTATGCCTTTCCATTCCAGAGATATTGGACTCCATAAGTGTAAGTTTTTTTTTTGGACACCCTATACATGCCAGGAGCATTTAAAGGGTTAAAGGATGATTAACTAAAGGAGGTTTCAGCATTCAGACCAATGAATCCCAGTGACTTCCATCTGATTCCATCAAGCTGAGAAGGCTCCATAAAGAGTACTTTGACAGCCCATAAGAAGTCACTGTGGAAGTGGCATTGAAGGGCTATCCAGAAAAATGGTCTATGAGGGAATGAAAAAAAGTATGGGTTGCCAGGCCAGATATGTATGGAATGAAGCAATTGATTGACTAGGATGGGTCTTTTATATGGTCAACAGGATGATAGAACTTTTTCATTACCCTCATATATACTACATATTTCAAGTGTTTGACTTGAAACTTTTAACCCTTCAAGCATGCATTCCCTCCCACCCTCATGCACTCCTGGTGAACTGAAAAGTACATCTAGCTGTGATATTAAGTGATCTCCCCTTATAATTGACAGAAAGTATCCAAAAGCTGGCAACCATCACCAACAATCATAAATGTTGTCTTTACAATCAGAACTGCATATGATAGGGGAGCCACTGTGAAAATATAATTTAAAATCTCATTTGATGCAGGAGCTTTTAGGTACAGAATTACTGTGCCTTATATGAAAAAAGAGTCAACCAAAGGACAAAAATGAGAAATTCATCTAGATATCCACCTGCTCCATACAATCTGGGAGTTTTGCCAACATTACCATTATTGCCATTTAGGCTTCCTTTCTTAAACTGGGTCATTCCATGCCAACTCACTCAATGAAACAGACAGCACCCACTTAAATTGGACTGTAATTTGGTGCATGGGGTATGTATGGTCCAAAACCTTGTTTCGAGCTTGATTCAAATTGAACCAATGGTTCAGATCTTATAACCATATTCACCCAAGCAACCATTAATTTTAGCCAAAAGAACCTCAGGTTCTTTTGGTGTACAAGGTGATGCATAAATAAATTATAAATTCTTAAATTTACACAAGAATTGGTAGATTTAATAAACAAAAGGTTATCTGAATTATATGAACTTGTAGCTTTTTGAAGCTTTTTCCAAATCTGAAGAAGCTGTCAAATCTTTTAGTAATAGACTTTAACATGCATTGTCTGATTTTTTCACCTGCCAGCCACTTAAGCACAATCTCATAGGCAGCATTAAAGTCTTTGCATCCTTGCATCTTGGACTTATTCATGAATTCTTTCCTCCACTTGACTAAGACTATTAGACTTTATATGACTATGGGAGCGGCACCAGTTCGCAAACAGGGAGCCAGTTAGTGAACGAGGGTTATGAAATGTGATTTGGCCTTTTGTTACTCTAGTTTCACTCTCCATCCCAAGCATTAATTAAACAATCAATCCATTTTCTGCAGATACCAAAAGCTGGAGCGTGTAACTCAAGAAACAAAAGACCAAATTGCATTTCATGACCCTCGTTCGCTAACTGGATCCCTGTTTGCAAACTGGTGCCGCTCCCCTAGACATGAAAAAACCCACTAGTTAACTCCAGAGAGTGAAGGGCTCATGGTAAGCATCCTCAGCAAGCTACATAGACTTACATTGACCATAGTGCCTCAGATTAGGCTCTACACAAATTTTTTCAAAGTACATTGGATTTTTGAAACTTTACACCCTGTAGAAAAATGGCACCAGAATCAAGTCTCATGCAAAATTGTTTTTTGCTTGCATACCTTCCAAGTTTAAAGGTCTTCACTTCCCTGTAACTTTTGAACCATTGCTCTCTGATGGAGCAATAATTGAATGGTTGTATGATTGGCTCATAGGATGCATGTGCTTAATTTCATCCAGGGAAGTGTCATCCATTCAATGAATACACTAGGAATGACCCAACTGTAGTAGTAGAAAACTGAAGCCTCGAAGACTTCTATTAATGATAACATTCCAAATTTTCAAGGAATACCCTTTAGTTCAGGAATCACACGAGGACTGTCCTCCTGTGTACTTACCAAGCATTTCATTTGCAAAGTTTCCTGCAAGACGAGCATCCCCTAGCATTACTGGACAAATAGGATGGTTGTCACCCTGGAACAATAGAGGTCAAAGGGTTATTAATAAGAAGGTTCATGTCTGTTACTTTTTGTGAGGCATCAGAGTAGTGCTCACCAGGATGTTGAAACCTGCTTTTTTCATTTTCTCCCGAAAATGCACAGTGTTTGTATGAACTCGTTCAGCAAAGGCATTGCTTTCCATCAGCATGTCAAGAACCTAAAGGTAACAATCAATGCAAGTAAGTAAGTTTTGCATAATGCTCTTTTCTACAGGCCAAGATGCACTTCGTCTGCAGGCTTTGCCATCATGCTAACAAAATAGCTCTTTTTTTTTTAAACTGAAAAGACTATTGTTGAACAATGTGAATCCGGGTAATTGAAAAGATGACCAGGGTAAGTGCTTGAGTTTTCCTTTTAAAGAACACTCATGAAGTAGTAGATTGACACAAAACACAGCAGGAGTAAGAGAAACCAATGGTAAAATGCAGATACCTTGTCAGCACAAGCCACAACTGGAGGGGGGAGTGAGTTGGAAAAGAGATAAGGTCGAGAACGCTGCCTGAGAAGTTCGACCAATTGTGCAGAAGCAGTTGTGTATCCTCCAGCAGCTCCACCCAAAGCCTTACCCAGAGTTGAATTTATTATGTCCACTTTTCCCTGCAAGCCATAGTACTCCTCTGTGCCCCTAGCAAGCACCACATACATGTTTTAGTAGAAGCATGGAATATTTTGCATGCAAGGATGGAGGGAAAAAAGGGGCTGGTAGGAAAATTATTCATTATAGCACTTAAGCAAGGGACAAATACATATTTTGATTTAAAATATGTAGTATAGTTCCATGCAAAAGTAACAATACTCCTTTGGCTCTCCTCTTGGGAGTTTTCCTTAAAGGAAGAAGAGAGAGGTTAATTAGTTACCTGCCAGAAGGACCAAAAAATCCTGTAGCATGGCATTCATCAATGAAAGTTAATGCCCCATATTTCTCAGCCAATGCCACAATGCCTGGCAAAGGAGCAACTGAGCCATCCATGCTGAATACTCCATCACTGGCTATCAGTTTCACTCTCACACCAGCTGCATCAGCTGCCTTTAATTGTTCTTCCAGATCTGAAGAAGTAAAATGCATTTTACCTCTCACAATTCAATTTATAACAGCAAGAGATAGTTGCAGCAAAACAGGAAGGCAGCTAACCCTTCATATTTCTGTGCTTGTAACGGTAACGCTTGGCTTTGCACAATCTTACTCCATCAATTATGGATGCATGATTGAGCTCATCAGAGAATACTGCATCCTCTGGAGAGAGAAGCACTTCAAACAATCCTGCATTTGCATCAAAGCAGCTGGCATATAGAATGCTATCTTCTCTTCCATGGAATTTTGCTATTTTCTTCTCCAGGTTCTATGAGAAAGGAAAAGACACATGTTCATAGAAATGCTCTGATACTTTCTCATAGTGTACCAGGGCAATTTTTGAAGCAACGATGAAAGAAATGCAAGACCAAAGAAAAACAAGGAAGTCACCTTATGAATGTTCTGTGTCCCACAGATGAATCGAACTGAGCTCAGCCCTGCACCATATTCATCCAGGGCATCTTTGCCTGCTTTGATCACATCAGGATGGCTCTGAAATGGAAAGCAATCACATTACATGATGCAGGGTTTGTGATACTTGCACTGAATGAAATCCAGCACTCACAGAAAGGCCAAGATAATTATTAGCACAAAAGTTGAGCATCTTCTTGGTTTGTCCCTGCACTCCAACTTCCACACCCTGCTTGGTGGTGATAATACGCTCAGCTTTCCATGTTCCTGCTTCTTTGATGCTGGTCAGTTCAGTATTTAGAATATCTTTCAAGGCTGCTGCTGCTGCACTTCTTTGTCTCACCAAGCACAAGCCAAGCTGGCTGCCTTGCAGTAATCTCTTCATGGGGTCTAGCAATGAGCATAAGCATACCATAATTCTATTAATAACAGATCCTAAACTAGGCACAGTGGCAGAGCAGTTCAGGCCTCTGAGTGAAACCCAGGGGGGAGGGGATTGAGTCTGGGTGCCAGGAAGCTTCACCAATAAGTGACCCACTGCTTTCATGGGAAGAGTCTGCTTAGCATGGTACTACTCACAAACACTATGCACATGCTACTTTATGTCCCATGTCTAGGAGTTATGAATGCAGTTCACCTATAAAATCCCTTATCCCAGCCATGGGACTAGCCAATCTGAGCTGCCCCTAGGACCTTCTACACAACTGTAGATGGGCACTCTTGCCTTAATGAATATGACCTAGGTTGTAATGCCTATATGTTGTAAGGCAACCCCTTTTCTCGGTGTAATACATGTCCACTGTTGCATGTGTCTCCCAAATGTTCTGTTTTTATTTATTTTTTTTATTTTCAAAGCAAGTTAGGATGTCAGTTTATAAATAAAAGCTACAGCTTCTAACTTGCTATTTCTGTCCAAGCCTTATAGGCTTTGGATTACCTATCTAGCACCATTAGAGTGCCTGTGCATCAATGAATCAGTCAAGTCAAAGTATTTGGAGGCCCACGGCTCAGCAAGTGGTTTCTGATACCCACTTCACAGTGTATCAGTCCAGTCACCTGACTAGACTGCACTAATGAGACTAAACCAGACTGGACTGGTCTAGTGATACATTTAAGATTTTCAAATGGGGGAAAGATCTGAGTAGAGGTGTTGAAGGGTTGGGGGAGGGGTTTCTGGGTGAAAGGAGTGTTCTGCATGGAGGGGAGGGGGTCCAAGAACTGTACATTCTCCTCTGGTCTGTGTCCAGGGGAGTGGAGGGTTCAATACAAAATGCATTTAGGGGTTGGGCTGATTGATGTAAAGGTATCTTGATGAGTTATGCCTGATGCCAAGAGCAAGGAAACATTCTAATTGGTAAACTTGTATGAAAATTCTGAACAGAAATATCTCTTCTTACTTTCTCAATTAACACTCTGCCTACCCTCATTCCATATGCTCTATTCAGTCAGCCAAATCACAAACTAAAACTACCTGGTTAACCAGCACCTAGGTCTTTCAAAGACGTTTCTATTTGAGAGTATGTAAAATATGTAACTCAAATGTTCTTTCTTTAAACTTAACAAAAATCAATCCCTCTGAAGTTTCCCTTCCTCCTTCAAAATTAAATTCCTGAAATGCTATGTCTCTTGGTACTCAAATGAACCTTTGGTCTCTTTCTGAACCTCTTTTAGTGTGTCAAAAGAAAGCTTTAAAAAAAAAATTTTAGAACACACAAAGTAAACGTAACCACAATTGACCTTAGCCATTTAAATCTACCAATATACTCCATACAAGTACTTGGCCTATGTTAGCTCAGGCCTGGAACCTTCCGTGACGAGAAACAAGTAATCGTCCTCAGAGAATCTTACCGGAGAAAGCTTTCCTGCTGAGATAACCCCAGTGGAAGGAGAATGAGAATCCAGCCATCCTGCAACCCCTTGCGCCACTGAACTCTGCACTGCAATGCCCTCGCGGCTCGCACTCGCTAAGTCCAACTTAACTTTCCCGGCGCACGCCCGGCGGCAAGGGAACAGGCGCTGGCATGGGTAATGGGAGCTGCTGCCGCCTGAAGGCAGGCCGACTTCATCCTTCTCTTCCCACCTTTCTCTCTCATTATTATTATTTGCTTCCTCAACTTTGAAACTTATATAACTAGAGATCGATTTATTTTTAAGTGCACGAGTGGCGTGCTAGGAAAGTTACATGGATGAGCGAAACGCTTTGAGAGCTAGCATATTTTGTTTCAGGTGATTAAAATATTAAGAGATGCGGTACAGTAGAGAGGGCAAGAAACGCCAAGTGGAGAAAATATTCGATATTACGTGTTAACAATAAGCATCACGTGGATGGAGAAGCAGGGGAGTAGGGGCAAAGGAACTCCGGGACAATTATTACACATTCAGGCGCCTTTCCCATCTTGAGTTACTTTTTAGCGGTTGGGGGCAGGGGAGCGGGGGGGGGGGGCCACGTTGCACCCTGGCCCCTGACGCTACGCCGCTGGTGTTAACGATGGTTCATCCAGTCATGAAAGGAAATGAAATCACTGAAGAATGGCTCTTTCATCTTTCGCAATTTGAGAAAATTGTTCAAGGTGTGATTTATGAATATAATTGATTTTCCCGTTCGAAAAAAATTTAAGTTAAATTAAAGAAATTTTAATTTTTTTTAATCAAAAAGAACATTATCATCCAGGAGGAAGCTTTGAAAAGTATGCAGGCCTATGCCTCCGCGCCTGACCATGGCAAATTGGCATGGCTCCAGCTTCAGTTTCCTTCCCCGGTGCCAAGAATCTCTTTACACATCCTTGTAGGTCATATGAACATCCATGGAGTTGCATAGTCAATTTCTTCGGAAGTACTTCATTTTGCATGATGATAAAAGTAGTTTAAATACCAACATATTGCCATTTTTGCTGCATTTCCCCCGGCTTTATCCATGCAAATATCAATATGAACCCCACGTAAGTGGAGATTTTCCAACAAGAATACCTTTTTGACATGACATCCTTGGCAAGATGTTGAAAACTGGAGAAACATAGCAGTGATGGATATGATGGCAAAATTACAGTCTCAAGATTTCAGCAGTACACTGGTATATTCAGCATGCCGTTTTAACACGCAATCTCTGACTCAAAGAAAAATCGCCGATTCTGATGGGTTGTGCAAAGCCTACCGAATCCGCTAAAACGTTTTTCGAGAAAGCATTATGTGCAGGAGAGAGGACTGTGTGAAAATGCCCCAAGACGCACTCTTCCCTGATTAATTCGAATCACTCGAGTTTTGGTGACGTCAGCAAGGGATCGTTGCCCTCGATGGGTGTGGGCGATGGTAATTGGTCAAATCTGGTACATCTCTGTGTATAATTGATTATAACAACAATAATTGGCTCTTCATACGATATTCCAAGTAGTGATGAGACCAGCGCTTGGAGTGAATCAGTCCATTCCGTTGACAAAGTGAGGGGAACCTCCTGGTGACGGGCCATCATTGGCTCCACCGGCGGCGTGCCGGGGATTATTGCCAAGTCAGTCCAAATGGACGCCCGCCCCTTCCCTCTGCTCATAGTGGGGTCATCGGGATCGCCTCTTTTGGGATCTAAAGGGGTCAGTGGTGAAAAGGGACAACCTCGATGAAAGCCAAGCAAGTGAAACCCAAGCTTAAGTACTGTCAAAATTAGATATAGTTGTCAAGTTTAAGGGCATGCTGGCAGATTCTTCAAAATTCAAGTCAACGTGTTTCATCTATGGGTTTCTTTGGTCTAGACCAGCAACTGCCATTGAAACAAAATTGGAACCACTGGCCATAAAATACACAGAGAAAAGGCTGACTACTCAAGTGAGAAACAAAGGACAATGCAGAAGTCACAGGATGATCGGAAAAAGGACATCACGAGGAAAATTCAATAATATTTTTCTTTAATTACCATAACGGTCAATAAAAACTCCATTGAAGGACGGCAGCAGCTCATTTAAGGCTTGTCGAGTTGAAATTCGGGTGAAAATGGAGCTACTAATGCTAGAGAACCTCAACGTTGCGCTAACTTATCAGATGAGCTGGAACTGTGATCGAATAACTTCCCATGAGATCAATCATTTGGATTTTCGTTTACATTTTAAAGAGAACTAGATGCGTGCATCGAGAACGAAATTCATTCGGCTGCATTCCATTTCTGTTCATGACAATGCGTCCAACTGAAAATTGCATGCTGTCGTGTGGTTGCAGGTCCATGAAGCCAGATTATGGACGGATGCCAACAAGTTTCACGGTTTTCTCACTTCGCCAATGGGGTGGAGTGTGAGTGCAAAATGGCATGCCGAGTCAGTCAATAGATGGTTGAAAACTTTAGATGTTTAATTTAAAAGGTGTTTAATGTTGCTCATTTTGCCAGCATCATAGCTATTTTTCGCAGGTTTTTTTTTTACAATATACCATCAAAAAAAGGATTTTTTTCGAAGGATTTACCTCACACAATAGGTGATATTTTTAATAGCTTTCGTACTAAGTAGGGTTCAATATGGTATTTGCTGGAAGAAGACAGGGGGGAATTTGACGAAACTGGCAATTTTTGGTAATTTGACTTGTCTTCATTGTCACTTAAAGCCATTTTCTCGAAGAGTGGCGAAAAAATTGATTACGTATCCACATGCATGGTCATATGCAGTGTTGGGCGCGTTACTTTTGAAAAGTAACTTGTTACAATTACATGTATGTAATCCAAAAAGTAATTAGTTACCAGTAGAATTACTTCTCATCAAAAGTAACTAGTTACAAGTAGAAGTTACTTTTTAAGTTACTTTTCCTGAACAAAAATTCCGATCTTTCTACAGCTTCTCCACTTCTTCGACAGAAGCTGGATGCATGGACAGTTACCTCAAAAGTTACTGAAAAAAGTAATTAGTTACTGTAACGCGTTACTTTTACTTCGTTACCGCCCAACACTGGTAATATGTACTAAGAGGATTTGTGATATCTGGAATTTGGCATTGCAAATTTACCATAGGTGCAGAGACAAATGCAATTCGGTCTGAACCCTGAACTTTATAGCAATATTCTGCGTGGCCCGATTGCACCAGATCGTTTATAATTCACATGGCTCCGGGGAAGATGCTCATGCAAGGAAAACAAATCAAGAAAATCCATGAAATCCTGGGGCGAAATTGGGGTAATTTTCTCGGAGACTCTCCAACGTCTGTTCCTGGAAAGTGGAGGGAAAAATTGCTTGTAACAAAATGTGTTTTTTTCGTGTATTTGGATTTCCATGATGGTAGTGCACAGTGAGCAAGGCCGTATTTAGGGGGAGGGGGGGTTCAAACCCCCCCCCCCCCCGAAATGTGTTTGTTTATACCTGAGGTAACAAATAGACAGACGCAACGGGATAATGTTCCTGTAGAGAAGACACCTGAAGAATTTTACAAGAGAGCACTATGGGTAACATGCACCAGATCTGTTTAACTTTAAATTGATTCGTTTTCATAATGGGCATCTATGGGAATAAGTTCATCTCTGTGTCCCATAGGGGACCATTGTGAAATCAGACTAGTGTAGCTTAAACGGATCCGGTGCATGTCACCTTATATCTACCATTCTTTGATCATGTTAGGACGCAGCTGAGGGAGAGGTTCTCCAAACATAAAAATCTTATCAGCTCTTTGCAGAAGGTGGTCCCAAAATTTTGCATCTGTTGCGAGCCTTCAGATCTGAAGGAATGCGTTGCATTTCATGCTGCACTTCTGCCTGAACCAAAAGCATTCTCAGTCGAGTTTATGATTTGAAAAGCCAAATGGTCGATGATAGCGGAAACCAGCAGACCAGGATCAGCTCTGGAAGCTCGTGGCGAGTGTAGTTCAGAGTTTTATCCCAACATAAACGAGCTTCTCGAGATACTAGTAACGCTGCCAATTTCCACTTCGACGGCCGAAAGGTCATTTTCAACCTTAAAGCGCCTCAAAACCTCCCTGCGGAATTTAACAGGAGAGAACCGCCTAACAGGACTTGCACTGCTGAACGTTCACAGAACCATTCCTGTTGACCCTGGTGAAGTTGTCAGGAGGTTCGTCTTAAAACTTCGGCGGGAAAATTTCGTACTGCAAAGACACAAAAAAAGATTTTTTTAAAAACTACATTCCTGATCTAACCAAATGCGGGACATTTCCTTTCACTCCTTCCGTCTTGAGGAGTTCCACATTTCCTGACTTCTACGATTTTTAGCATAGGTTTATTATGTATTTTTGGTAGGCAGTGATCTTCAGCATTAAAAGTACGGGAAGATTGTGCAATACTTGGTCTTTTCTATAATTAATAGCTTATGACTTATTAAACACTGCAACTTACAGGAAAATTCAGTCATGTCACAAAAAAATAGCCACAGCGCGTATGCCAGACCTCAATCAACGGGGAAAGTATGGAGGAAGAAACATAAGGGAGAAACAGTCTCACGCACAACTCGTCCAGATTCGTTGACGGTCGTATCCTCTGGCTCCCGTCCGCTCGAGGTTCGAGGCACGCACCGTGTCCACTGTGTTGACCGGTTGGAGGCTCGGGACGCACTGCCGTCAGGGTCTGGGGGACTCTTTCCCTCTACTCCTTGCATCCTCGTAGGGCACGAGGAGGGCTCCACAAATTATTCATTAAACTTTTCCGAAATTTGAATCAGAGGGAAAACTTGAAGATGCAGAACGTTCTATGTAGCATAGCGAGAAACTCCAATAATCTCGATTTCTTCCATCGTGAGAGTGAAATACCTCGCTGACAACCTCACCCATCGATTCGGACTGAAGTATCTTCATCTTCAAGATACGAGATTTTTTTTTTCCGAGGAAGGAAACCGAATCGACGCCTCACGTGGGGGTCTCGAGAAGCCAAGTAAGGAGTTTTTCAATCAGCGTCTGTCCATGGGACGCTCCTCCCGCGAATATCATGGGAGTGACAGCGAGTCGATAAGGGGGAAGTCCTGAAAGAACTAGTTCATCTGGTGATGTGTCATGAAGTGTCCCTGAATAAAA